TGCTGCGCCTGCCACGAAATCTGCGCATGGAGGTTCACAAAGTGCTGTGCCTGCCACGAAATCTGCACATGGAGGTTCACAAAGAGCTGCGCCCGCCACGAAATCTGCGCTGTGCCTGTCACGAAATCTGCACTTCCGGAAACAACTGAAACCTTTAATCGCAATGGAGGGACGATTCCGACCATGATCCGACCATGATCCGAGAATGATCCGACCATGACCCGAGACCTTCTCGCACACATCGTTCCGCAAAGCTTGACTGGCCGCTTCGGAGCCACCCTTTCTATTGAAAAACGCAGCATTTTGTGCGTCCGCTATCTCTCGAAAATGCATTTTGTATTGCGCCAGCCACGCAATCTGCACCTCAAGCTTCACAAAGTGCTGTGCCTGCCACGACATCTGCACGTGCTGCGCCTGCCACGAAATCTGCGCGTGGAGGTTCACCAAGCGCTGCGCCTGCCACGAAATCTGCACATGATGCTAACTGGAGCTAGAGCTAACTGGATGATGAGCGGTGTATGATGAGTGGTGTCTGATGAGTGGTGCATGATGAGTGGTGTATGGTGAGTGGTGTCTGATGAGTGGTGCATGATGAGTGGTGCATGGTGAGTGGTGTATGATGAGTGGTGCATGATGAGTGGTGCATGGTGAGTGGTGTATGATGAGTGGTGGATGATGAGTGGTGTCTGATGAGTGGTGTTTGATGAGTGGTGTATGATGAGTGGTGTATGATGAGTGGTGTATGATGAGTGGTGTCTGATGAGTGGTGTCTGATGAGTGGTGTATGATGAGTGGTGTATGATGAGTGGTGTATGATGAGTGGTGTATGATGAGTGGTGTATGATGAGTGGTGTATGAGGAGTGGTGTATGATGAGTGGTGTATGAGGAGTGGTGTATGAGGAGTGGTGTATGATGAGTGGTGTATGATGAGTGGTGTATGATGAGTGGTGTGTGATGAGTGGTGTCTGAGGAGTGGTGTATGATGAGTGGTGTGTGATGAGTGGTGTATGATGAGTGGTGTATGATGAGTGGTGTAATGATAAGTGGTGTATGACGAGTGGTGTATTGAACAGCTGTTGAATGTCCGTAACACGGAAATTTTGCACACTAAACTTCCTTTGACTAGGGGCTCCTGGCATCGCTACTAGGAGCAAGGACGCTACTAGGGGCTCCTGGCCTTACTACTAGGAACAATGTTCGCTACTAGGGATGTCAATCTGAAGATCTCTTTTGGGGTGGGTTGACACGGAAATCGTTGGCTTTCCTACTGAGGTCACTCAGTAGTGCACCAGTTCTTGCACAGAGAATAGACATCGAGCTCCGATGTTTGGTCCCCTTACAGTAGACTTGATGGGGGCTTCAACCAAGAAACTGGAAAGATGCACGCTCACAGTATTCAAAGAAACGGTTTCTAGGTGCTTTGTACCAGTCATTAGTTTGGCAGGCTAGCATTTTAGGCTTTAGGACGAATGTCGCTTGGTGGTTTTGGATATAGTGAGGCAACAAATATCAGACGTGTCGCCTGTATCAGTCACGGGATGTTCCACGTGCTACCTTCTTTCACTGTTCTGGACCTCCCAGCTTCTTGCCAGGACCTACAGGCTGGACGGCCGCCGCCGGGCAGTGACTTCGACTTCTGAGTGCTTCGGTGGAGCAACTTCCAAGCAACACCAAGTATAGTTCACCTCGACCTCAACCATTCCTTTTCTCTCTTGGTGGCCACAAAAGGGATGGCCATGTTGGCAGTATTCTAGTCTTGGAAGGACAGCATCAATCAGGAATCCTTTTACGATTACCCAACCGCCCAAACAAAGCAGGATATAGTTTTCAGACATTACTTGGAAGAGCAGTGCTGCAACACTTCAAAGACCCGACTAGTCTAAAATTAGTTTATATAAATATGTAAATAAATAGATAAACAATCATATTTATATATACTGTAAATAAATAAACTAATAAATCGTGTATATACTGGAATCAGTGTGACAGCAAACAGCGCTTGAAATACCAACTCGCACCGATACACCGTTTTTGTCTGTAGTTTCGATTTGCAGTGATACACCGATATCAGTGATCCGTCATTGTCAAGGCAGTACACCAATGCACCGAACACCACACTTTCAGATTGTAGTATATAACAAGAAGCTACTAGGAGCTCCTGGCATCGCTACTTAGGACGCTACTAGGGGCTCCTGGCCATACTACTAGGAGCAAGAAGCTACTATTTACCAGGAAACAAACCCGCTGCAACGGCGTAGCGGCGAAGCGACGTAGCGACGTCTACCTCGTGCCGATACCCTGTGCTGACGTCTTGGCGTATCGGTGCAGCGGCGCAAATGGTTCCCGTCAGGATGCCGGGGTATATCATCGTAGAACGACATGCGCACTGCTATGTACTGAAGACTGGGTTATTATCCGGAAAGGGTGGCTCAGTTCTTTTGAATGATCCCCTCACAGGGTATTGTAAGAATTTGACAATTTGTTCTTGCTGCCCCAACTCTATTTGCTTGGCAATGATGGGTCGCAACCTATCTAGCAAGCAGAGGCCTATTCTTTTGGGCTTTTGTCGATCTGAAGTTGCTCTACCAAGGGCCAAGGCCTCCCTGCATACCCGTGTAAAAAGTAGTTCGAGACGTCCATGCTAGGCTGCGCCAGGTGTCGATTCATCCGTAAAGGCTACCAGTTCTGGAATAGCACACTCAATAAAACCATGTGCAGTGAGGCCTGAAGAAACAATGGTGAGAACTTGCACATTTTTGTTTGGACTGCGCAGCAATGGGTTTAGAAAAGATGCATGGATGAAACATTCTCCTGCCAGGCTTGCACTCTCAGTGGATTTTCATGCGACACATACAAGATGCAGGTGTCTTTTTTTGTTCTTTTTGAACTCATAGCAATTATTCAATCGATATTCAGTGAGTATTCTGGGGTGTTGAGACTTTCAGATAGATGTTGATAGCAAAGTACTGTACCTGAGCCACATTACGACACGGAAATGCCCAAAAAACTATGCTGAGTTTCGAACGTTCATCAGCATGCTCAGGTAGATACAGAAAGTAGACATAGACAATTCTTAGTAAAGCAGGATAACGTGCAACTTAATTACTGGCTTCATTGGGTTTACATTTACTCAGGATATCATCCTGGCTACATTTTTATTGCACAGGGTAAGTCGTATACAATCTGAGCCAGGTACTCAATGGCCTTAAGTTGAGAAGTCTCACACTGTTTACACATGCTTCCACAGCATTTCCCATTCAGTGCAAGCTTGCTGTCGTCAGACAGAATTGTTTCACTGTGCGCTGAAGCCTTCGGGGCGGAATTTGAGACCCAGCTCCCACCTTGGTGGCCACCGTGGCGGGGGCAGATGGTAACTGTTTGACATAAGCTGCATGCGAATGCTTGAATCCGGAAAAAGATGAGCAAGAGCAAGTTCCAAGTCCTTGGACTTTCTGGTCCCCTTATGCAGAACGATTTTTTTTTCAATGAAACCCATGGCAGGGTAGTGTCGAATCTAAATTGCCCCAGTTCATTGCTGAATCCTTGCAAAGAAGTTGCAAGAGAGGGTCTCTAGATTACATCAACAGTGCCTTGGACACCTTTGCTTGTTGATTGCCCATTCTTCAACTTCATTCCCTTAACGTGACAGAACGACATTGATGATGTCGAGTATGACGAAGACTTCGAAGAAGCGGATGAAGAGGCGCTCTCCATTGATTTGAGAATAACATTGAATAGCTCATTGATTTGACCTGTCCCGGGACAACCTTCATGATTTCCTGAGCCAGGTATGGGACTTGATGATAGTATTTTCAAAGTATGTTTTGCCTCAGAAGATACACCATTGTCAATGCCAACTTCTAGCCCCTCAATGTCGGGCATCCTATGGGCGTGATCGAAGGGCTTACAAGCGCACAAAAAACACAGCCGTTTGCTATATAAGTTGACTCCAGTTCAGACACGTCAAGAGGTGGCCATGTTGGAGTTAATGTCTTCCAGAACCGCTCTTAGGTTGGAGGCCTTTGCTAGTAGGTTGGAGGCCATCGCTATTAGGTTCGAGGCCATTGCTATTAGGTTGGAGGCCATTATTGCTATTACGTTGGAGGCCATCGCTATTGGGTTGGAGGCCATCGCTATT